TTAGAAAGCTGGTGTGGGGCCAGGCTGCCTTCTCCCTTGCAAATTTCACTTTCACTCCCCACAGGTGACATCAGTGAGAGTAACTCATGATTTCTAAATGAGAACTGGGTAAAAGTGATTTGTTTTTCCTTATTTTTCTCTCCCACTCCTTGTGCCAACCCCACCTCTGAAGCTGGTGAGGAGTCTCTCCAATGAGGGGTCAGATAACTGTTCCAGGGTGCTGGGGTACAGCATTTCCCCTTTCCACTGAATAGTGAGCTCGTGCACTGGGATAACAGAAGCTGCACAGGGCTCCCGTGCACAGCTGCCTGGCAGGGCCTGCAGCATTGGCAGCAGCCTCCAAGTGAGTTTGCAGGCAGGCTGGCTTGGGAATGACCATGCAGCGTTTGCCTTTATATCCTCTGCTCCTAGCTGGCTGCCAGTCAAGACTGGTTTGAAGTCAAAGGAATTGGGCTCTGTGACCACTACTGTCCACCTCTTGCAAACCAAGGCCCTATAGTCTTAAGTGGCTGTGATCTGACAGATTCACCGGGTCTGGACCATGAGATCCAGGTAGGTCACTAAAGCAAAAAGAAGCAGGTAGAGTAGGTACAGAGAACCATTCCCTCATTGTGTCAGCATGGACGTGTTCAAAACTATTTGTATATGCTGTGTACCAGGCCGCAGGGAGGTAATCGTGAGTGTGACTATTGTAGCCCTGCTCTCACAGAGAGGGGGAGGTCGGCAGGTGGACCAGCAATTACAGTAGTGTGTGACAAGTGCTGCTGTCTATGGGAACCCATGGAAAAGGGCACTGTTATGGATCGAATTGTGCCCTCTCTGGCAAAATATGTTGAAGTCCTAACCCCTGGTACCTGTGAATGTGACCTTATTTGGAAATAGGGTCTTTGCAGAAATAATCAAATTAAGATGAGGTCCTTAGCTGAGTCCTAATCCAGTATGATGGGTTTCCTTAAAGAAGAGGAGAAGAGACAGACACAGAGACACTCAGGGAATGTCATGTGATGAGAGAGGCAGAGATTGGAGCAATGTGCCTGCCAACCAAGGAACAGCAAGAATTGGCAGCAACGCCAGAAGCTAAGAGAAAGGCGTGGCGCAGATTCTTCTCATAAGGCTTCAGAGAGAACATGGCACTGCAAACACCTTGATGTCAGACTTCCGGCCTCCGTAACTGTGACAGAATACATTTCTGTTCTTTAAAGCCACCCAGTTTATGGTACTTTTACAGCAGCCCTGGAAAATTAATAACAGGCACTAAACCCAGAGTGGTCCATCAGGGAAGGCTTCTTGGAAGAAGTGACATCTAAGGTGAGATCAAGAGGGTCGTGGGCCAGGCGCGGTGGCTCACGCCTGTAATCCCAGCACTTTGGGAGGCCAAGGTGAGCAGATCACCTGAGGTCAGGAGTTCAAGACCAGCCTGACCAACATAGTGAATGTTTCGCATGAAATTAGAATTGTGCTCCACTAAGGATTCAAACTTCATCCCAAAAGTAGGGAGTGAAGTGATCTGAACTGTGTTTTCTAAAGATCCAGGGGCTGCAGGTGGAGAATGCATTGGGGCTAGAGCAAGACCTGGCACAAGGCCTGGCCCCAAGTCAATGTGCACAGATGATGGTGGAGGGTGTGGAGTCAGGAGGCCCACAATGAGGGCAGTCAGGAGGTAAGGGAGGCCTGGCCGTGGCAACAGCAGGGAAGATGGAGGGAAGTAGGTGACTCCTGAGACACCAGGGAGAAGAACGGAGGAGACTTGGTGCCTGATTAGATGTGGGGAAGAGGGAGAGGGAAGAAAACAAAAGGGACTCCTGGGGTTCAGATACAACAACGAGGTGGCTGGAAGAGGAGATAATGGCTGCACTCCGGAGCGTGGGAAGTTTGAGACGCCCAAGGGGTAGCCAAATGAGATGTGGGTGAACAGCTGGAACATCTGGAGTTGGCCTGGAGTTCTAGAGGGAGGGCCTATGGAGATACTGATTTGGAAATCTTTTGCCTAGAAAGAGTAATGGAGTCATGGAGATAGCTCCTGGGGAGCTTCTCTGTAGAGTGAAAAGCAAGAATGATCTTGGACAGAAGCCTGAGAAACACAAGATTCTATGGAATGAGCAGAGGAAGAAGAGGCTCAGAGGAGGCTGGGAGCTGCAGCTAGAAGGGGAGGGGAAACCACAGGAGACATTCATGGAAGCCCAGCAAGGAGTGCCCAGCGAGGTGGAGATGGCCAGTGGTGTCAAATGCTGCCTTGGGCCCAAGGAAGATGAGAGAAGAAATATGTCCCTGGAATGTAGTGGCAAGGAGGTCCTTGGTAATCTTGGCAAAAACCATTTCATTATGAGAGCAGGGGGCATAAGTCACGTTGTGGTGGAGAGTGTGGGAGTGAGCTCTGTGTGTGCGGACAGCTCTCTCCAGAAACTGGGCTGGAGAGGGAAGAAGAGAAAATTCAGAGATGAGAAGAATGAGGAACGGAGGGAGGCAGGTGTGTTTGTCTTTGAGATGGAATGACGTGAATATGTTGCAACCCCAAGAGGATACAGAGGAGAGGTTGAAAACAGAAGAGAGGGAGAAACAAAGGTGCCAGCCCTTGAGGAGACGAGAGGGCTGGGAGGCCACACCCGCAGAAAAAAGGGGCCCATGGAAGAGGAAGGGAAAGAGGAGAGGTGGAGGTGCCAGCTCCTCTGAGAGTGGTCCGTGGCCCAGCAGTGGGGACAGAGCTGTGAGCAAATAATCCCAACAAAGCAGCCCAGGGACAGCAAGAGCCTTGGGAGCACAGAGACCTTGAGAGAGGCTCGATCCCAGCAGCCCCAGCCCTGCCAAATGCCTACACATCCTTCAGAGATCTGCTCAAACTTCACGGCCTCAGGAAAGCCACACTGAGCCTTCCAAGACGGACACAGCTCCAATAACATACGCTGTCCCAGCACACCTCCCCTCCCAACACAGCACTGTTCTATTAAACTTGAACTACAGAGAACGAAGGAAATTACTCTCTTGGATGCATGGGATCCCATCATCATCTATCCATGCAAGGTCCTTGTGGTAGGTAGAATAATGGCCCCCAAACATCTCCATGTCCAGGAACCTGGGAATGTATTAATTCATACAGCAAAACAGACTTTGCTGATGTGATTAAGAGAAGGATGGGAGATGATACTGGATTATCTGGGTGGGCCCAAGGTCATCATAAGGGTTCTTGTAACAGGGAGGCCGGAGGCTAAGAGTTAGAGGAAGAGATGTGACAAAGCACTACTGCTGGCTAGAGAGGGGAGGAAAGTGGTCATCTGCCAAGAAATATAGGCAGCCTCTACAAGGAAAGGCAAAGACAAGGAAGCCAGGTTTTTCTCAGAGCCTCTAGAAGGAATCAGCCCTGCTGACAGCTGACCTTAGCCCAGTGAAACTGATTTTGCATTTCTGACCTCCAGTACTTGTCAGGTAATAAATTTGTGTTGTGTTAAGCCATTAATTTTGTGGAAATTTGTTATGACTGCAATAGGAAAACACATCCCCCGTCTTGTTTTGTTTTACTTTTTGCTTTTATCCCCCAAACTAGTCTAATTCCCCTCCTCATTCAGTCCAAGCATGAACCATATTTAATTACAATGTATTTAATACATGTCTTTAGATATTTAATGTATGTTCTTAGAGACATGGGAAATATATAGTGCTTTTATATGTATATGTTTTTAACTGACATAAATGTTATTGTGTATTAGCTCTTACGCTTCGTTACATTTTTCTCTCAAAGCTAAGTTTCTTGATTGACATCGGTTGTGTCATCTTGTTGATTTGTGAGAGTTTCTTATGTCTTTTTTCAGATCTAGTCTGTTTTATTCATTTAAACTGTTTTCTCCCAAGTTATCATTTAACTTTGCACATTGTATTATTTATTGAACAAAAATGCTAGTTTTGATGTAGACAAATAATCACTTTTCCCTTTAAAAGTTTGTACCTTTAGAGCCTTGCATACAAAAGCATTCCCCCAGTCACAAATATTCTTGGATTGTCTTACTATTCTTAGTATGTCTTCTATAAGTTTTTTAGATTTACCTTTTGCATCCAGTTAGTATTTATCTTTGTTATAAAGTTTTACAATTTGATCCACAAATGTCTTGTTAATTTTATACTTTCTTAGATGACTTGTAAATTTGCTGCTATTTTGACTAGAGGTTTATTTTCTACTTTTCTAATTTATTGCTATTTTAGAGAAGTGCTAATGAATTACCTAGGCTGATCTCCCAGTCAGTTCTCTTGAAGAACTATTTTTTATAGTTCTATAAGTTGTGTGGGATTATTAGTTTTTATTTATAGATCATGATATTATCCACAATTAATAGCTTTATCTCTTCCATTACAATAGTTATATTACAATCCTCATTTCTTTTTCTTATTTTATTGCATTGGCCAGACCCTCTAGTACTACACTGAATAATAGTCATTCCTGCCTTGCACCTAAACATAAGAAGAACATATCTAAAATTTTAAACATTTTCTTAGGTATATTTGCTGTAGGATTTTAGTAGAGAGCTATGCTCAAGTTAAAGAAGTTCTTGTCTATTTTTAGTATCTGAGAGTTTTTATCATAAACAGATGTTGAACTTTTCAAATACCTTTCTTTGCATCTGTTGAGATATCATGTGATTTTTTTCTCCCTTAGTTTATTAATGTGGTGAAATACACAGGCAGATTTTCTGATATTGGACCATTCTTAAATTCCTGGAATAAACCCTTCTTAGTCATGATTTGCTATTTTAAAAATAATTTACTAGTATTTTATGAAGAGTTGTAACTAGGGTAATAAGTGAAATCATCTATACTTTTCTTATACTCTCCTTATAACGTTTCTTGGGTCTTGTAAAACATTCAGTTGTTACTGTGAAAAAAATGGGAAAATTATTATCATTCTTCCAACTTCTTCCATTAAAATCAAATTGCCATCTACTGCCCTCTTACCATGTCTTTCTCTGAGCATAGTACCTTTTTGTTTAAATGTCAAATAATAGTTTTTTTCCCCCTGGCAGCAGCTTTTTTAATTCAAACACTTTATTCTTAAGGACACGCCTTCAGTACAGTTAACAAATGGTTATACCTGAAATCTGCTGAGAGCAGAGCTCAAGATCCACAGTTGCAAAGGCCACTGGCTCACTTCCTCATGGGCTGTATTACCTTCCAGAGCTGAGTGAGGCTGTGCTCTACGTCCCAACACTTGTTACTGAGTGGACATGAGGTGCAAGTTTAGCACCTTAAAAGGAGAAAAAAAGAAATAGGTTAGTAAGCAGAATGTGATTTTGTCCTCACTTCGACTTAAGTCATCTTTTTTTACTTGCCAATGTGAGTTCTGAAAGGTAGTACTATACCTGCTTAGAAATGGCTGAGTGACTGTCAATTAAAAAGCCACATTGCTGTTGTTTTAAAAAGATACTTTAAACAGTAATTGAACTGAATACCTATGGTACCAACCATGAAAAACAGTGCAGAGTTGAAGCACCAATGACATGAAGAGCCATGGACAGATTCCTACATGTACAACAACATCACAGCAGCCACCAGGCCAATAGAAACTCACAAGGCTTCATTGATTATAAACACACCTTGGTTGCAGAAATGTTCAAATGTGCTTCTTACAATTGAAATATGGTAATATAAGGAAGGTACCAAGTATTATCAGACAGAAATGAAATGCCAAATTGCACAATTCTGGTTATATATGCATTTACAGAGATGACCCTGGGTCTCCTTCCCCAACCCTATGAGGGTCTAAGTGTTCTAAGAGAAGATGTACTGGGCTGACCCACCTGTCCCCTCTGTCTTGTATGACCAATGGCACATGCTTGAGAGCTGCTGTTCTAGGGTGAATCTGGCCAGGGTATAATAAGCCAATCTTGGGCCAGGGTTAGACATCAGTCTGTGGTCAGGGAGTGGTTAGATCACGGCACTGAGCTGTAGCCTTTGAGGATTGGGGTCAATATTCAAGTACAGTTCATGTTTGGAGTCAGTCTCTAGGTGGGGTAACTATAACTGGGTTTGTGGTCAGCCTGTGGCTGAGGTTTGGAGCTGGTTTGTGCCTGGTTTTAAGGGTCCGTTTGTGGCCAGGGTTGAGGTCATTCCATAGCCAAGGTGAGCAGCTCTCACTACCCTACACTGTGCAAGGAGCCCCATGCCTGATGCCTTTGGCCAAACAGCTTTTGTTCTGGGTGTCTTTACAGTATGTGCTTTGGACAGGTCTGTCTTAGCACCCCAGGCCATGGCAAAGCTTGGCATTGCCTCTCATACGGGCTCTACTTAGGGCTCTGGGGCTGCCTATCACTCTGCTTCCAACACAGCAAGGTAGCCCTGCTGGGAGTCAGCCCTGCCCAGTTCATCCAGAGTTAGAATCCCCCTGCTCCCACCTACCTCCCTAGAGGCTAGCCAGGGGGCTAACCTGGAATGAGAGGAGAGGCCACGGAGGAAAACGTGTCTGTTTAGGGCAAGTCTGTAGGTGCCCCAGTGTGCTACCCAGGGGCACTGCTATGTGGAGGCAAGGGTCCTGTGTTCGAGTCCTGCTTCTCCCTCCATAGAGTGGGCAAAGTCATTTGCTGTCTTCAAACTTAGTTTTCTTGTTTATAAAATAGGAATCAGAATTTCTGTAAGAATGAAATGGAATAAAATGTTGAAATTTACTGTGAAAACTGTAAAGTGCTATTACAGAGTGGGGGATGGTGATGATGTTGATGATGATGGCAATGACAATGGCTACAAAGGATGATCGTTACAGGGCTCTTCATCTTACAAGGAAGTTGTAAAACGTCATTTCTACCGTGAACCCAGGAAGCCGAAATGGTATGGGGAACACATGGCCTTGCCTCAGTCACGGAAGATATCACGATGCCTATTTTACAGATGAGAATATGGAGTCTTAAAGATTGTATGATTTACCCAAGGTTGCACGACTCCTGCTTTAGGACTTGTGCTGTGACACTGGATGCCTCTGTGTGGAGTGTTTCTGATGGCTGCTTTATCCTTCCCTTCTCCAGAATGTTCTCCTGTTGTCCTCATCACGCAGCGCAATGATAACCATGGTAACAACAGCTGACTGAGTGCTTTTTATTGGCCATGCACTGTGCTGAGTTATTCAGACAAATCATTTCACTTCATCTTCGTGACAGCCCTTAAAAGGGAACCTATTTAGGTCCTAAGGTCCCAGGAAAAATGTTACAGATGTGAAAACCAAGGCTGAGAGCAGGAGTGACTTGCCAGTAAGTGGCTAATCCCAGACCTCATCTCAGACGTTCCTGGCTCTGAAGCCCACACTCATGCCACCGTGTCACACTGAAACTTTGCCAGGTGGGAGTCAGACCACCTGACCTCTGGGCCTTACCCAGCCTGCCAGTGACATCTTTGTGTAACTTTGGACTCATCAAGCATTCTCATTTGTAGAAAATGAAAATGCCTGCCAAGCCTACTTCCTGGGGGTTAGTTGAGGAGCAAATGAACGGGAAAATGTTAAGGAAAAAAAAAAAAAAAACAGTCAAGTTGTTGCATAAATAGGAGGGATTTTTAATATCCTCCAAATGCTTTCCTTTTCTCCACTCATTTTTCCTGGTTTCCTCACTCTTCATCAGTAACAAAGTTAGGACAAAAGTGATGATTATTCTAAGGGGCACAAGCAGGGTCTGTCCCTTGGAAAGGCTTCTCTTCCCAGCCTCCTACGGGTTTTTCCAGTTTTCAGGCTGTTTCCAACGACCCCAAGAAGACGGCCACTGTTTCCCCCCTGCAGTGGTGGAAATAATTAGCTCCATTCTTCCTATTTGAATAGTCATGCCTAGCTGGCCTCTTAAATATGATCTTTGTGAGCAGTGCATTTTCAAACTCTCACAAGTTCTATTTTTACTTCTCTTGCTGAAGGAACGCTGTGGAAGGCGATTCCAGCACAAAGGGCCCTAATTAATTTCCCCTGCCTTTAAATATTTTTTCAAACTATGTGTTTGAAAAAGACATTTAAAAAAAAAAAAATCCGTGACTCTGGAGGTGGATTCCAACATAGTTCTCACTGCCTTCCACTTGGAAATCCACCTTCGCCTTGCCGCCTGGTGGCCAGGCTGGAGTGCTCTGTTCTGCAGCTGGGCAGTGCTTTACTGCTCCTCCTCCAGACAGAAGGGACTGCGTCCTCCATCCAGCCTCTCAGGCCACAGACCAGCTTATGTCCTAGAGTCTGAGGGCCCAGGGAGAGGATGGTGGTCGCTAAAGGTCTGGAGAGCTGAGGAACAAATGGGGGTCTCTGAGGGCCAGAATCGTGAAAACACAGGACTGGGACCATTGGAAAAACCATTAGGCCAGATTCTTTTGCCTTGAATCCCCATTCCCCGAATGGCCTCTGAGCCAAACCATACATGCCGGATGATGATTTATTATTAATCTGATTGTCCTGACTGTGAAATGATATTCCTCAAACTGTATGTGCCCTCATAAGGCATAAGTTTTTGCAATCTGGAACACAGGGCTGCAGGGAGGTAGTTTTATCCTTTGAGAGTAATTGTGGTTTACAAGGTCCTCGTTGAAAAGAAGTTGTTTTGAAAGAGCAAAGCCTTTTGAAAACACACAAGAAAAGCTTCTCCCATTTCTAGCTCTCAGCTGCCAGTGGGTAGGCTCTGGCTTCCTGGAGCGAATCCTAAGCCTAGGCAGGGAAGCTTTTCAAGGCCTCCAAGATGTGGATTGAGGGCAGGCTCCATTTGAGAGCCCTGTGCCTGAAATACCATCGTGAGCGCTTCATGCTTTAGGATTCCAGGCACCATCCCTGGCAAAATGCAAATTGTCTTGAGGCAGCACATGAAAGGCGTGGGTGGCAGCGATGAGGACCGAGCTCTTCTTTTCCTGCTTCCCTCTCCTTTCTTCTTCCCTCCCCTGTCCTCATTCCCTGCCTTCTGTCTTGCCCACTCCCACCCCATTTTCTGTTCCCTACCCATTTCCATTTTCAGCCCTTCTACCTTCTCCCTACTCTCTTCTTTCCTCCTCCCTTTGGCTCTCTTCCCCCTTGCTCCCTGGGAAGCAGCATCCTGTTTCTGCCTTCCAAGGTGAGTCCAATCAGCAGCACTGCACTCTTGCTGCCAGATTTGGGGCCTTCTGGGCACAGCTTCGGCTGTGACTGGAGAAACAGCCTTCGGGCTGATCTCTACCCTAGGACTCCCCAGGGGCTTCCTGGGAACGCTGTGATGCCCTCCCTTGCTCCTTTCTGATGGAGAGGGGGTGGGGGGGCTGCTGAAGGAAAGAGGGCCCTTTTCTTCATAGCCGTAAACACTGATGAGCAAGACCCACAGCAAGTCATCTGCTCTTTGTCCCTCAGGTCCGGGGACTCCAGACCCCTGGTTCAGCACCCTAGGAAGACCTCTAGTTTATGAGGAGGAGCCTGGGCTGGGTCTCTGCTCTCTAGACAGTGATTTCAGATGAACATGCCCCAGTTGCTTGGTTCCAGGCCCGAACCTGCACACACAGCATCAAAGCAGAGCAGGCAGGGCCCAGGATTGCCTCACACTCAGGAGCCTCTGACCCAGATGCACAGTCCTGCACATGTGCACAGGAGCCCTTGCAGGTGGCAAAACTGTTCAACTGCAGCTGTTCCGCACCCCAGGACAAACATAGCCTGTGGGCACCTCTGGAGAAACCCAAGCCCGGTAGCCTGCAGAAAGTGTGGCCAGGACGGACAAGGGCTGAGGAGACGACCTTCAGAAAGCATGCACATGCACACAAGCACACACGTATAAGCATGTGTGGTTGGTTGAAGTCTCAGAAAAATGAAAAAGAGGAAACAGGGCAAAAGTCATATCTGAAAAGATAATGACCAAGAATTTACCAAAACTGTCAGACAGGTTAATTCTACATTATCATAGGTAATTCCAAACTATTAATTCTATTTTAAACCCCAAAGCTCTAGGCAGTCTGATTTTAGAAGGTGCACTCATACCATTCTGCTATATAACCTGTATAAATTCATTAATATTTATCTTTTCAATACTCATATTGATGATTTTTGCTCTCCCTCTTTGTTCCTTGCTTAGTTTTTCTAGAGGTTTATCAATTTCATTAGTCTTTCAAACAACCAACTTTTGATTTTGTTGATTTTCCTTTGTTGTTTATACTCTATTTCATTAATATCTGCTCTTATTTCTATTATTTCCTTCTGACTATTATTTTCTTTGCTATTTGCATAGCTTGCCATTCTTTTTCTAATGTCTTAGGATAGATACTTACATAAGTGACTTTCAGCGTTTCTACTTTTCTAATACATGAAGTTCAGGCTATACATAGCTCTCTAAGCATAGCTTTAGCTGTATCTTGAGATAAATATCAGATCAACTGATTTCAGCCTTTCATGTTTTCTAATATAGGCATTTAAAGTCATACATTTTCCACTAAGCACAGCTTTAGTTCCATAAGTTTTGATATATAATATTTATCATAGCATTCACTTCAAACTATTTTCTCATTTTTATTGTGATTTTTAAAATCTATGCATTATACGAAGCATGATGCTTTGTTTCAAACATCTGGTAATTTTCTTGTTATTCTTTCATTATTGATTCTTAGATTTAGTCCACTGTGGTCAAAAGACAAACTTTGAATCATTTCTACAATTCGAAGTGTGTTGAAATCTGCTTTATGGGCTAGCATGTGATCAATGTTGATAAATGTTTCGTGTACACTTGAATGTGTTTTCTATCAATGTTAGGGATAGCATAGCTTCTGTGTATGCGATTAGGTGAATGTTGTTTGTTACATTATTCAGATCTATATCCTTACAGATTTTTTTGCTGCTGCTTGTTCCATCCATTACTGAAAGAAGTATACTACAGTCTCTCCTTAAAATAGTGATTTTTGTCTATTTCTCCTGTTAATTTTTGCTTTGTATAATTTGAAGCTATGGCATTAGATACATAAAAATTTGGAAAAGTTGTATCTTCCTGATGGACTAGCACTTTTATCATTACGAAATGTCTCTCTTAAATGCTTAGAAATGCTTCTTGCCTTAAACTCTACTTTCTCTTGGTCACAGTTCACAGAGTATATTTTTCTATCCGTTTACTTTCAGCTTCACTATGCCTTCATTTTAGGTTGAACTATCAGAAACTGCTATTTTTATAAGTCAAATATGGTTGACTGTCAGCACATTAATGTAGTTCAACTTAATATTTAAGGACCCTTGTAAACAGCATAGCATTTTAAAATCCAGTCTTAAAACTTTGGCCAGGCACAGTAGCTCAAGCCTCTAATCCCAGCACTTTGGGAGGTCAAGGCGGGTGGATCTCCTGAGGTGAGGAGTTTGAGACTAGCCTGGCCAACATGGCAAAACCCCATCTCCACTGAAAAAAATACACAAAGTAGCCAGGCATGATGGCGTGAACCTGTAATCCCAGCTACTCGGGAGCTGAGGCAGGAGAATCACTTGAACCTGGGAGGTGGAGGTTGAAGTGAGCCAAGATCACACCACCGCACTCCAGCCTGGGTGACAGAGCAAGGCTCCATCTCAAAAAAAAAAAAGTTTTGTCTTTTAAATGGAGTATTTAATCCATTTACATTTAATTGGAGTATTTAGTTCTTTGGTTGGTAAGTTTGGTTTTACATCTACCATCTTTACTATTTGTTTTCTATTTTTCCTACCTGTTTTATGTTCCTTTTTCTTGCCTTCTTTTGAATTAATAAGTTATTTTTCATTATTCCATCTCCCCCATTAGCTTGTCAGTTTTACATTCTGTTACTATTATTTTAGAGATTGCCATAGATTACTTAACTTATCAGAATCTAATACAAAGTAGTACTTTTGTAAATTCTAGACAATGCCACAAGCTTGGAACATTTTAACTCATTCCCCTTCTTTTTGTGTTATTATTGTCATACATTTTAGTTCTGTATATATTTTGAATGTCACATTACATTATTTTCTTGTAAAGTCTAAGTTTATTTAGATGTACCCACGTATTCACCCTGTCTGTTGTTCTTCATTCCTTCTTACGTTTCCTTTTTGACCATCTGGGGTCATTTTACTTTTGCCTGAGAAACT